CACACACACACACACACACACACACACACACACACACACATACTCACACTCAATCAATCAATCAATCAATCAATCAATTAAATCAGATCAATCAATCAGTCAATCAATCAAACTTTTTTTTTTTTTTTTTTTTTTAATTTTGCATCAGATTTTGCATTTTTTTTAAACATCTCATTTCCCTGCAAAAATCAGAAATTCGTTTCTCAAAAAAATACAGGTGAACTGAGGGACCATATATCTCATGAAAAAAAATGACCAAAAAAATCCTGCTTTTCTTTATATTTTTCTCATTATTTTGTTTAAATCAATTTTAGTTTTTGATTTTGTAAAAATCCTAAACAAAGTCGGATTCAAAAAAAAAAAAAATAGGAGTGTAGGTTTTTCGATGCCCTGCACCCCCATATTTTTTATTTTGCTTTTTACATATTTTTAGGGAGATAAAACAAATATTGAAAAAACAGGCCGCGGACCGGGCTTCATCGGCCGCGGACGCGGCCGAAATGCCCGCGGCCTAGGCCGCGGGTGTCACATAGGTGGCAAGTGCTACATGAGCAACCAAGAAGACAGCTGGCTCCCAAAAATAGAGAGGCGCCAGACACAATGTAGCAGTCTCGCGTCGTCGTCGCACAATGTCAGCGTAGTGTGAACGTCTTGCCAGCGATAAACCAGCGTCCAGGTAGCGTCATGCCAGCGTCAAGCAGTAAGTGCAAGAATGAATGTTGACCCCAAGTGGCTGGGTCAATAAATAGTGTTGACGTCGTGGACCAACCTCTAGTCTCTCAAGTACAAAGACTCAAAATGACTCGTAGTCGATGACCTGGATCGCGTACAGTTACAGATTTCCATTTGGACCAAATGTTGTCTAGATACCTCCGTACAACCAAGTGTGTATGTCTGATCGGTGGCCTAGACTGGGTCTGTGCAAACTCTAACTCGTGAGCCTCAATATTATGAGTTATAGTTGACTTCAGTTAATTGTCGGGCGCAGGGTTTCTGAAGCCTCGTTTTAGGGGCCTTGTTTCACACAGTCGGATGCAGGGCCTTGTTGGGCCGAATTGTGGCATGTGGTTGGTCCCCTGATCGATGACATAGGCATATTTGAGCGGGTTATTGCATTCTTGCCGACCCAATTTTCGAGTTCCATCGCGGAAATTTCATCTTAAAGTTTAGACTAAGTTCTTTCTTAGTTCATGCTTATATGCCGAAACAATATGGGGAGCAGTAGGCAAAAGTTATTTCTTGCTAATCCAACCGGCTTCAGACGGGGGTTGAGATTCAAATTTTACATTTAACTGTTTTTGTGGCCTACCTCCGCCAGGAAAACCCGTCTAGGCAACAAAGACTTTTTACAGTGTTCTGGACAGTGATGATGAGAGGGTATCCCTACAACTTATTTTTCCATTTCGATTACCGACAGCGGCACTACGGGGGCAGTGTGAGTGTCATCGTTAATGGTGGGAGCGTTAGTCGATGGTAGTCATTATAAGGGTAGTTAGCATCAAGGAGCAGTGGGAACACCAATGGTCAGACGGAATGAGAGACCCGGTGAAAAGCAAACTAGAGTTGTATCCGTTGGGTGTGTGGTGGGAAACCCGTCTAGGTAACAAAGGTTTTTTACAGTGTGATTGGACAGGGATGATGGGAGGGTAATCCTACAACTTATTTTCCATTTTTTTTACCGACAGCGGCACTACGAGGGCAATGTGAGTGCCATCGTCAGTGGGGGGGGCGTTAGTCGACTGTAGTCATTATAATGGTAGTTAACATGAAGGAGCACTGGGAACACAAATGGTCAGACGAAATGAGAGACCCGGTGAAGGGCAAACGAGAGTTGTATCCATTGGGTGCGTGGTGGGAAACCCGTTTAGGCAACAAAGGCTCTTTACAGTGTGATTGGACAGTGATGATGTGGGGGTAACCCTACACCTTATTTTTCCCATTTTGTTTACCGGCAGCGGCACTACGGGGGCAGTGTGACTGCCATCGTCAGTGGTGGGAGCGTTAGTCGATTATAGTCATTATAAGAGTAGTTAGCATGAAGGAGCAGTGGGAACACCAATGGTTGGACGCTATGAGAGACCCGGTGAAGAGCAAATTAGAGTTGTATCCATTGGGTGCGTGGTGGGAAACCCGTCTAGGCAACAAAGGCTCTTTACAGTGTGTTGGCCAGTGATGATAGGGGAGTAACCCTACAGCTTATCCTTCTTGCCTAGCTCCTGGTCTTTGAGCTTATAGGTAGCTTTAATTTCTAACGGGTTAGCCGTTTGCTTGAATCCCGGTGGAAAGCAATATTGCCGATTTAGGCAACTGAGCATGATTTGATAGTAGTTTAATAACGACGAGCGACACTGTAATGTTTTGCTAGTCGGCACAGACTGAATTTAGCACTAAGTAGGATGATGCCTTGTTTCTACACATAATTACTTTGAGCTTCAAGGGATTTTGGAAGAAGAGGATAGACCAGTGAAAGGAAGGGACGCTGGACCCGTTTTCCAGCAACAGCCCAATTAGGGTTATTGGTCATATCTTCCGGGTTGTTTGTGAGGAATTATTGGCCTCCTTTCATTTGTAATAAAAGCTAATGATTCTTCCAAAAAAATGTTAAAAAAAAAAAAGGAAAAAGAAAGATGAAATAGATTGAGAGAAGAATATAGATTACTTTAAAAAAAAAA